CTAGAGTCGAGATAATAGAGCATAATTTTTATAGGACAAGCCGGAGAATTCTCGAAATACTGAATTATCACCGGAACTCCAGTGAAACTGGTGTCGCCTTTAGAGTAAGGTAAATGATATTGAATATACTTTTGACAGTGAGATAAACTGAAAGAACTTCTCAAGATAATTTTTCTTGAATCGAAAAGCTTTTGTGAATCCGGAATTGTAAGTTCGCCGAGTCGATGTAAACCACCAAAACCCACACAAAGAATAGCTAAAAAGAGACGATCATCGTGAGAAGAACCAGTTTGAGAAATAGCAAAATGTAAATGAGACAGAGTAAGAGGACTTTTCCGAACAACCGGCTTGGAATGATTTTTGATGCAAGTCTTCATAGTCGCTCTAACTACCTTATCTCTTGAATCACAAACAATGTTAGGAAATTTTAAATTAAAAGTAAACGAAATACCAACTAAATAAACACGGACCGATCTGGGAGAAATTTTGAGACTAGTGTATGAAATATAATCACACAAAGTCTCAGAATCAGGATTAAAAAGATAACCAAAATGCAAACAAAAGCGAAAGAAACTTCTATAACCAGCCTCATATTTTTGAATAGTCGAAATGTTAACTGTAGATTGACGATTAATAATGGACAAAGCCTTGATTTGTTCAATAGTTGTTATATCTTTTTTATTATTCATGATTGAAGATGCCAATGTAAAGTTGAAGATTTGAAGAAATCCAAGTTAACTTCAGTACCACCAGCAAGTAATAAAGGATCAATGTCGAGACTACTGATTGAAACTGGCGTATATTGACGTTTAGCTTCCATCGTATGATCTCTAGACAATAAATCTGTGCATGAGTTCTGAACACCAGGAATGTGAGCTACTTTTACCTCCGCCTGAGACAAGACCAACCGTTTAATTATGGGTCGAAATAAAGGTCTCACTAACTGGTTAGGACGGTGTGAGTTGAACAAATGAAACACGAGTTTGTTGTCAGTATAAACGTAAATTCTCTTTGAACAAGCATTGATACCCAAGTCAATAGCCGCCAAAACCGCCAAGAGTTCGGCCCAGAAAATATTACAAAGAGGATCCGGAAGTCTTAGATGAAACGCGAATTTTGTCCTTGGTTCCCAAACACCGATCCCAAACTGGCAAGCATCACAAAAATAAGATGAATCGGCCTGAAAAGAAAACCATTTTGCCGATTTGAGAATTAAAACTCCATTACTACCTTCAAAATATTCAATTAATCATCTCAGATCATCTTGATTCTCCTTATTAAGATGAATATGAGAAAATCGTTCAATCTTGCCCGCCGTTTTTTTGTACAAACTTTGCAAAGCAAAACGTCCTAAAGGCATCGAATTAAACCCCCAAGAGATCCACCCTTGCACTGATTGCCAGTCGCGTAAAGAATGGTTAGGAACCGATACAAACCGTTTCATAGCTTTGATCAACAACGTCTTCTTGTCGGGTTCCAAATAGATACTCATCCTATCAGAATCCACCACGTGACCAATCACTTCCAAAGCAGTACCGTACAGTTGTTTCTTCCAAACCCAAGGAACACCTAAGATATCAAAAACCATCAATAATTTTGCTTGAGGACCAGGAATACAATGATCTTTAAACACAACCCAATCAGATGCATCCGCCACCGACCACATGTCGTCCATCATACTATTCAAATACTCAATATAAAATATCTCTCTCAAAATCCAGAGTATCAAAGAAAAGAAACCACACCAAATGTGTGGCAAAGGAGACGAACCAAAGGTAAGGTTGTGGTCGACTCAACATTTTCCATTAGCTTTGATACGGAGGATCTGACGAATTTGATATTGAGGATGAGCTGGTAAAGTTCTAAATGCACCTTTGACATCTGATTTCAAAACCGTTACTTTTCCTTTTTTCCTCTTTATATCCATTAGATAAGGTGCAAATGATCTTAAAGAATTGTACAAAACACGGATCTTGTCTTTGTCGACGAGATCATTTGGAGAAGGGTTATCAAAACTCATATTTGAACAAACTCTCATTTTCTTTGAATCTTTCTTGGAAACCATCAGAAGAGGAATGACCTTCATCCCTGGTAACAGCATTGTGAATTCTTCAGAATATCGACCTTTCGTAATCTCTTCTTCGCATTGTTCCTCCAATAACTCTTGATTTTCAAAACAGGACTGAGGATTTGGAACGTCGATAATTTCTGAAGACGGAAGATTGGATGAAGGCCAAAAACCTTCTCTCAAACCCTTTAAGACGGAAGCAACAAAAGGTTTGTTAGGATGAGTACGTAATAATTCTTCAATTTTATTAATATTATAAGGCGTTTTAATTTGAAAAAGATGATCGTATTGTTTCAGAATAAAATCCGCGTCAACATCTTCTTGAAGAGAAGTGGGATCCGGAAAAGGTTCTGCCGTTAAACTAGAATCGATGGAGGCAGAATAACCCGTTGGCGAAGTACCGTCCCACTGGTAACCGCGCAGATAACGCTCTGAAGAATACTCTTCAGGCGTGATCGCATCCGAAATGTTTTGCATGACATCCCCGGATGTTCTGCAATTACTCCATGAATTAGTTTTCACATCAACTCAACCTACTTATTATAACAGAGAAATTGATAAGCAAAAACATACACAAAAGTGAAGGGCAAGTAGGCCCAATGGCACAAACTCCATTCTTATTCCAAGAAAAACAGAACTGCTCCTTAGCAATTGGCGTCTTAGAAGCGTCTTCAATCGGAAATTTACTCCCATGCTTAAACAAGAAATGATATTTATCAGGATCAAATGTTGGCTTTTGAACTTGACTATTAGCCGCATTAGGATTAAAATTTAACCGTTGCCTTGAAACATTTTGACTAAACGAACAAGACAAGGAAGCTAAAACACTTCATGTTAGAACATATCCATAACCAGATATACAATCAGAGAAATACTAACTGGACACAACAGGATTGAAAGCAGCAACAGGACCAAAATTATGTTGATAATATGCACTCCCAAAAAATTGTGTTTCAAGAACTTCACAATCTTTGTGATCCCAATCAGCGAAACAAATGTACTTTCTATTAGCCACTTGTGTTCGAAAAGCTGAATCGTAACCCGCGATATCTCTCCAATTCACCATAACACCAGCTGACCAAAATTGAGATTTAATATATTTCCCATATTCAGAAATATAACTTTCACAATCCGGAAAAGCAGCTTTGATAGCTCTTTTGAGAATGCCGAAATAATATAACCATTCAGCCAACTCGACAATTTCTTGAGTAAGATTCTTCGAAATTTCAAGTCCTTTTTCTTTACCAGAAGCTGTATAAGAAGTATCTCCCTTCTTCGGATTAAGCAGCTCTCCTTTGATTCTTCTAAAGTCGATAAATTTTCCGAGAAGTAATTCTTTTGTGAGAACATCAGGAAAATCAGGTGGTTTTGCTGAATTATTAAAGTATTTAACAGCTTGGGAAATACTGGCATCGTAGCCTTTGACATCTGCCGCATATAGTAATGCTCCTTGAGTAAAGTTCCCCGTGGGAATGTCGACAGACTTCTTTTTTGATATAAACACGTACTTTTTCGTGTTCTTTTCAGATTTTGTAGATGAATCTGAAGAAAAATCGGATGAGTCATCTTTATGCTTGTGATGCCTCTTCCTTTTGCCTTTCTCATTAGAAACATGAAGAGAAAGAAGTGAAGAAAGACGATTTTGATTTTCTTCGTTTTGCTGAGTGAGGAGGGTGATTTTTTCTTCACTGGTAAGAACTCTGGGTACAATAGGATTTCCAGAAGGATGGTCTCGTTGTGAAGGAGAGACGGGTCTCGATAGATTGGGAGGATAGGTTGGGTTATCATTTGTATTGAAGATGAAAACCTTCTCCGTATTAGATCGAGGAGTGGTTGTTGGAGCAGGCAACAAGTTTTTAAAGATTGGACGCCCGGCGTCTTTATCAAGTTTACAGAGCCTAATGGCGAAATTGGACCAATGTCTATACCATTTCTTAGAATGGAACGGTATGACCTCTGCAAACTGGCTTCTGATCTCCGTCATTGATATGGTAGTGGAGCCTCCAGCTTCATTATAAGACTTTTTGATCTCCGCCAACCTAGACGTAACCCTTGCAGCCGCTTCAATATTGGCAGCATCACTGGACATAATCACTTTACCTTTAAAAATACTAGATTGATTGAGTGATAACGACTATGAAAAGATTTTCGTCGATGAGATGAAACAGGAAGTGGTAAAGTAAAAAATGGAAAAGTGGTAAAGAGGTAATGACGTCAAAACCATGAAAGGTAATATAACAAGTCAAATACCCGGTCCGCCATTACACACACATTTTTTATACATACCTGTTACACGATGACATTCCCATCAGTAAATAACAAGTGACCTACAACTATTACAGAAAGGGAGAGGTGGGTGGGCCAAAATTTTTATAAATGATAAGATGATAATATATAAAAAGAGCTGATCTCGAATAAGATGAGAATACTTTTAGCAAGAAGCATAAAGACCTTTGAGAATAAGTAAAGAAGTGGGAAGAACCTGGGTTTGAGATTATCCACTTGATTATAGACAATAATCATAGTGAGGGTAAACAGCATTCTCAACGCAGAAGGTAATGAGGGATTTTTGCAGAGATTGCACAGGAATGCAATCAATTGCAATGTGAAATAGCTTACACATCATTTTGTCATGGCTACGTCACATGGCTCCTATAACCTATTCTCGTATCTAGAAGTGTTCCTCCTAGTGCCCAGTTCTCTTACTTACTGAGAACCCTCGTGTTTCTCCAAAGGTCCGACCTCTTTGAATTGAGAGGGAGTGATATGTTTTTAGCTCGCGAGTAAAAAGTGTCTCACTAGGGGCACTTGATCAAGTTGGGGGATACTTGTCGATCATGCTAGTTTTGCAGTGCTTCTGATTCCACACGAGCATGCTAGTTTTGTACACAGTAGTACTTGATATGACACACAATCATACCAAGCTTAGATCATGCTGTCCTCTACTGTCCTCTATGGTGTGTCGGACTGTTTCAAGTCACAGGATTGTATTCGAGACCACGAACGACAGTCACCTCAATTTCGGGCATTCTCGACCATGGATCTGCTCAACAAGAAGTCGTACCGAACGATGGCCTTGATGCTCAATTGGCCTATATTATTGACAGCCATGGGCGTTTGGGATTTTTCCAGGAGCGTACGCCACTCTATTCCGACCAGTCTTGGAAGCCATACAGAAGCGCGTTCTCACTTGGAAGAGACTCCTGAACTGGCAGTTCTACACCAAGAAGATTATCTATCAGAAAGACAAACCTCTGACATCCCCTTCGACGCCTCCTCACCGTCCACTGCATTGGCTAGTAACTTTCCTGCTATGTACACCGGGCCACACCAGTCTGGTGCAAGCGACAAAACTGTCAGTGAACAATAACATCGTTTTCTCGCAGTGATCAAGACAAAGAATGAGCCTTAATTGTTTTGTTTGTCTGGACAACCCCACCACTGCGAAGTCTTTCTCAAGTTTTCACTCTCTTGGAGAAGGGAATGCGGGTATCCTCAACACGCACAACGGATTGGCGGTCAATCGTCGGAGCGGAGCGGAGAGTCAGGAACGTCTTCCATTGCATCAGGTTGTTGGGGAAGAAATCCAGTCGCACGTATTCCGTCCAGGTTCGCAGATAGTATCTCCTCCTGACGCGTATATTTTGAATCCTCCTTCATCGAGCGCTCATATGGACATATCTGGAGAAGGGTCATCGGAACAATTTCATGATCCATTCGAGAACACAGGGTACTACCGCGAATTATCTCATGTGATAAGCCAGCTTCCAGGAATCATGGAAGACTCGCCATCCTGGCACGGCCAACTCATGGGGCTACCTTCACCAGAGATGATCAGCTTGAAGCCGTATCACGAATGGAGAACACTCGAGGCTCAAAACAGCCCCACTGGTCACGATCATCCCGTTGCATCATTAGAGTTCGAAAAAGCATCCCCAGACTATCAACATGCTCATCATCGCAAACTTTTCCAAGATCACTCATCCGAAGAACTGCCCAGCTCACCTCATATACCAGCTTCTGATGGTCATGATCCATCCACTGCATTAAGTGCTCACACGTCTCCGTTTCCAACTGAGTCTCATCATGCCAGCCCCACAAGAAATGAATTCGACGCAAATGAGATAAAGTACGCCGATGATCCATCCAATTCTGAAGGGTCGTCTCACAGTTACAGTGCCACGACTCCCCTCTCTGATTCACATGATGAATCGTCAGAAGAATCATCCAGTCACTTTCTTGGCAATGAAGCACGGGCAAGCTCTGCACTGGTAAGACCACCAAATGCGCGCGAATTACGGAGCGAAATTAAGAGTCCGGGTCACAGCACAAGCTACCAATATGTCAAAATGAAAAGCAATAAAGTGGAGTGGAGTCAGGCCAACTCAGGTATTGTCTTCCTGCTTTTGAAACTTCTAGCGTTTGCCCCGATACCAATTCCGTATTTTCACTTACTTTCATCTCAAGAAACGTCGATACTGACCCGATTCTTTCGAAAAGTCTAGTTGAACAGAATTCGGACCAAGAAAAACAGAGTTCGAGCTCTCAAGACGCAAAACTACCTTCTCGGGATGTGAGGATAAGCCTTTCAAGACCCGGACAGCTCAAGGCCCCACATCCAACTTATCAAGTCAATCTTCAACGTTCCAAGCGAACATATCATCATGATCCTTTTTCATTCAATGGGGATGACGAATCCACCCATCAAGCAACAAAGTCTCGCCGACTTACGCAGACCAAAATTCATGTTCTGGAATCATCTACGCTTCCGAGTTGGCAGTTATCATGGTCTCGATCTAAGCCCCGTACTGCTCGCGGGCCGCGTCCTGGAAACCCCGCTGTCTTAAAATCTGAACAACCCCGAATAGATGCAACCAAATTTGAAGGCACTTTTGATCTCGATAGATACTACTCAAAGAAAAATGCTCTCGAAAGATCTTACTCACGAAGTCGGACTCTTGCAAGATCGGAAAAGGTGGCACTCGAATCACCTACCCTAGATCGTTCAAGACAAGCACGTGCAATGAATATAGGGATCGACTTTCAACAAAAAACGATTTCCTCAAAATCCCATCTCGCTACTGATCCATTCCTAGTTAAAGCTCCAAAGCCATCTGGCCCGATGAAGAAGAGAACAAAAGCCATTCCTCGCTTGGAAGCTGTAAATCCACGACCTGAAGGATACGTTGATGACAACCGTCATCAATTGGTATCAAACTCGAATGAAGAACCACTGTTGTCCCGCGCTTTGATGGATACGTACAAGCCTCAAATTCAAAAATTTCTAGAATCAATAGAGCACAAAGAGGCTAACAAGGATTACGCGCAATTTCTCGTCGAGAATATGGAGAAGCTATGGGATAATTATCTGGAGATGATCACAATATGCTCTGAAATCGTCGCAGAGCGCGATATCAAAACAAACATGGAGCAAGATCTGATCGATGCGTACAAGTGGATCGCAATACGGTGGAAAGAGATTCCCGGTACTCATTTCGATTGGCTACCACTTCCTGGATTGAAGTATCCACCTGGTAAATTGTACGAACGCGATGCCTTCACTCCACATTTCGAAACTCTCCCCGTATACGAGGGTACCATATATTGGTTAGGTCATCGAATGTTCAAGCGAAGACGTGAACGCGTGGCTGGTACGCACATATTGTATTTCATGCGTGAAAAGCGACCCCACTGGATCAGAGTCTTAACTCCTATCAGTGCTCCAGAACTATTGGTTAAAACATTGTTGATTGCAATCAAAAGGGTAAGAAAATTAACATTTCCTAGTCCCCGGCCGTAAGATCAGAGATCGCTATCACCGAGCTCAGGTTGAGGTATACAAGAAGCATACTCAACGGCAAGAGAAAAGAGCAGATGGTGAAAAAAGTGTTCGCAAGAATTGTTTTACCCATATGACGAGCAGGCGTATGTCTATTAATGATGGAAACAGCTAAACACATTTGGAAGATAGACGATTTTTTTGTGTAACCCTTAGTTGGAGGTTTGCTGATCTAAAACGGATATCCAACATCATTAGTATGTGATCATTTACAGCATGTGAATTCACCAATAGGGGGGCTCAGGTCAAGTTATTTTATTACAGCCTGATGCATAATTGTTGACTTTGGAAAACAAAAACCTCGAGTTTTCAAAAAAAAAACCTGGCGTATTTTTTTGAAAAGCTGCTGAGTTTTCAAAAAAGATCATACGGAAAGGGGTGGTCACAGACCATCTCGTCTTCACAGAGAGTCGGGTCATCTTCTACTGCAGCCCTGAGGATCTCCCGCTCACCAGGCTCCAGAGGAGGAGGTGCACCAAGAGTTTTGTAGCTTTCAGCAAGCAGAATGACGGCATTGGTGGCTCTATATAGCTGTCTTGAACACGATGAGTCCGACATGTTGAGGCCACTCATTTGACGGATTTGATCAGGTGTTCGGCCTTCAAGTGTCTTGACATGTGGTTGATAAAATTTACCATTGTTCACACGTTTGTATGACATGTTGAGGTGGTGATGATTGGATGGTCATGAAGGGAAGTTTCAATATTGAACAATTGGTGGATCAATTGAGCAAGCTCTCTGGGTATTAGGCTACCAATATCTCTACTGAGATGTCAAACCCCTTTCTGTATGATTTTTTTTTGAAAACTCAGCAGCTTTTCAAAAAAAACTCAGCAATTTTTGAAAAAACTCAAGGGTTTTTTTTTGGAAACTCGAGGTTTTGTTTTCCAAAGTCAACAATTATGCATCAGGCTGTACTTTGACCATAAAAAACTTTCCCAAATTCTTTTGAGTAGCAAATTTGTGTAAATTTGCTGCCCAGCAACACAATTTGTTTACAAATTGGGAAACCTTTTTACAGTCTGGTACTGTGAAAAACTTTCCCCAATTTTGTAGGACAAGGCCACAAAAATCTTGACCTGAGCCCCCTTATTGATTATTTGTTTCTGGTGAAATTTGGATTGAAACTGGTTGACAGATGATGAGTCTGGTACCCCAGTTCTGATTTCATGGAAGCCAAGTGTCTTCGTGTCTCTCAACAGTAGTTCCTTCAATGTTACAACACCTCTCCAATATGTGACATCTCAATGGAGATTGGGGAGATCCAAAAGTTGCACAGTGTGAATCAAGTGCAAGTGAAGAACAGCTTGTATAGATGCCATTGGTTGAGCATTTGCGCTAACCATCAAGTAAGATGGTTTGAATATTGGTTTTGGCATAAAGAAGATCAAAGTCTACTGATAAGTTTACAACATGGCAGCTTTGTGAACCACATGTTTGAAGGTACCTTCAGTTAAATTCATGAGGTCAAGAGTCTGAAAGTTATAAATACAAGCTTAGACTTGTTAGGTGGATGCTTTGTCCAAAGCGGCTTTGTGACAGCTCTTGTCTGAGATGGTATTGGTAGTGTCTTTCACCCTCTTTTCATGATCAAGATCTGTCTAAATGTGGCTACTTTGAAGAAGTCAGCTTTCTGATAGCTATCCAATGGCCATTACTTGCTGGGCTTCAGATTTATGTCTACCTTGAAGGTATCCTCAGTCATGCTATCTAGGTCAGAATGAGTGGGATATACATGCTATGCAAAAAAGTGGAGCCAGGAAATTGACTCTAAGATGAAGTGATAGACTCAGCGGACTCTTGGCAGCTCTTGGCTTACTCATGCAAGATGTTTGTAGGGCACAGCAGTCAAGTTGGTCATCAAAATCAAGTGATGTTTCAAGAGAGTGTCTCACTTCTTATTTTGAGACTAGCCCCACATCAAATGGTTCCTGTAGTATGCAATTCATCGTTATACAAACATATGACCAATAATATCTAAAAACATTTCAAAACATATAGTTTTCATCTGATAGATTCAGGGATTCTGTGCTAATCATCTAAATCTCTTAAACTTTCCCTTACACCTGTCTCAAAGTCCTGGGACAAAATATACAAGATGAGGAATTCAAGTTGAAAAATTATATGTATGAGTAAAAAAAGCCATGCTTACCATATCTGCTGGTTTTACTAATTGAATACTTTGACCTTTTGTTTGTTTAAATAATTTGTTACTTGAATATAGGGTGAAAAACATGACTATAGGCAAGTATCTATAGTTTGTGAGATATTCCAAGAATGGAAGCAGTTTGTTTTTTTGTTATATTTCAAATGATTCTCAAAGGATAGACAGATATGTGGAAAACCAGAAGGTGCTTACCCAGTAACAAGAGTGGCTGTTGACCATTGTCCTTTGATCTGAGAATTGATAAAACATTGGGTAAAGAGATATTAGAAAGTGTTGTTTGAAGATTATTAGAAGAGACGTGAACACACAAATGCGGTAAAAGGATTAGATATCAAAATCATTATGCATAAAGTTAATACGTAATATGCACCCCATCGACGCTGAAGAATCAAAAGAATTTAATCTGTTGTATCAGGGGGTGGGCTCCTAAAGAAACCAAAGAGGTAGAGAAAGAACAGATAGGATGAACTTACCAGACGAGATTGATAAGGAAATATTGAGCGATCGATGGATTGCGCTCTGACCCCCAAATCCCACCTCAGATATGTAATCAAGATTCCAACCCAGGTTTGTAGTCCAGTTACAGATACCATAGCTGATGTAGAAAGACGTCGAGAGGAGGTATGATCATATTTCAATGTCGTGTACTTGAATTGGGTGAAAAAGTTGATGAGAAACTCACTAGCTAGCCAAGTGAAGAGTTGCCCAATACCTCCACCTCCTACTGACATCAAGCTCAAGAGTCCCATGGCTGAAGATATCAGAACGCAGAGCCAAGGAATTCCCTGAGAATTCAGTTGCTTAAGGGCAGCAGGCGCGTTCTCTGCTAGAGCTAGGCCATGCAATGTGCGAGAAGTAGTATACATGTCACTTGAAGCAGCCGAGCATGCTGCAGTCAAAAGTGCAGCATTGATGATCCTGCCATGCAAGAATCAAGTAATCAAATTGATGTCAGAAAACAAATCCTATCTTTAGTTGGTTGAAGACGACCTGTTGAAACATCTACATAGGTAGACATCAAACTCACGACGGCAGTACCTTTATTCCAGAATCTTGTATGGCAATCACAAAAGGTGAACTAGCAGCGTTATGTGAATTAAGATTAAGTCGAGGATCATCGCTTGAGACAACAAGTCCAATAACAAATGTTCCCAAGATGTAAAATAACCAAATCCTCACAGCTACTTTACGTATAGCGGATGGTAGAGTTTTTCTTGGGTTCTTAGCTTCTCCTGCTGTCATTGCAGTGATCTCTGTACCTACACAAGAGAACCCTGCTTGAATCAAGGCTTGCCTGATTCAAACAAATATTGGTACAAAGACGAACAGGCTCGTCAGTGAAATTGCAGATGAGTTAAGGAAGTTATTCAAATCCTTTCACCAGAAGCCCAAGAAACGACCCTTGACTCCTGATATATCAAGAAACTGTACGAATGGACCGGGATTTTTCCAAAATCGAAAACCGATTTTGTGATGAGTGGGCCCACCTCCTAAATCTACAAAGATTGGATAATTCAAACATTCAGTCTCGTGGAAGTGCATCTCCTCACCAATATGTGCTGACCTATCACAATTCCTATAATGATCAATGTGATTATTGTAACCACTTTGATAGACGCAAACCTGAAAATATCATCTCTCAGCGAATTGAATTTGGCCAAACCAAGAAGAGTTGATAGTGTACGATAGATGCGGAGCGTACCAAAACTCAAACTCGCTGAGGAAAAGTACATCATTTCTCAGCTTCTGTGTTCAAGATGAATCTAGAAACATTGAAAGCGTACCCATAAACCTTTGATGGAGCAAAATTTATGCAAGTGACAGCTGCTAGTATCACAAGGATCCATACTGCATTATTGACAGATGTAATCCAATAGTTGATCAAAATCCCTGCGGCGGCCAGTTCCGCTGCCAACGCTGTTCAGATGCATCACACGAAAGCTGAAATCAACACATAGCTCCACTTTGAAGAAGGTACACTCAGCAAAGAAGTACGTATCAGACGAACCAAATGACCAACTGGATGTTAAAGGGGATTAATAGAGACCTTCAATTATAATCAGGGATCTGTCATGCTTTGAAAAACTACCAACGTGTACCAAAAATTCCAGCCCAACTACAGACATCCATACAGTATCGCGCAAACAAATCAGTATATACATATATGATTCGAATGGTCAATCAAGTCATATAATGGAAAGAAGCAATATTTGAAGGTCATATATGATGTTGAAGCTTAATAGCAGAACATATCTTTGACTCACTGCAAATGATAGAGATGGGTTCACGAACCGTTTTGCCAGTGTGATGTGTCCTCCCGCTATGGGAAGATGAGAAACTGAATTTCAAATAGATTTGTTAGATCCAAAAAGGTCTTTCCAAGGCTCGTGGATCAATTAATAAAACTCGTCAACTCACCCATCTCCCCTAGAGAATCCATGACTCCAAAGACCACTAAGGCGATTAGGTATTGGAGTTCAAACATGTGCTTTAGTTTCAAGACTTGGTTTTACGCTCAATGACTCTCTTCTAACCTTAGCCAAATTTGACACATGAAGTTCAGAAAGTTCCATGAAGCTAGAACTCAACTTGTTCCCATCACTGCATAGCTCAATAATAATCCGAGAGGTCCGCTTTCTCGTAAGGAATTTGCAGTACTTAAGAAAAGCCCCATACCTACCACGCTTCCTATGGATATCATCTAATCAACCATCAAATCGAGATTTTCCATCATAGGCCGCAAAAATTCATTTGTTAGGATCTTCATGCTTTATACATATAAGGAGTAACCTTTCGGTGATAGTAGAAACGTGGTTGGAAATATCTTTATTATCGTTTGCATCTTTTGCCAAGCTATAATCATATGATGCTGAAAATCATGGAACTTAGCACAATGAACACTCAACTTGTATGTGCCGACTTTTCATTCCTCGACGTAACTGATTAGCATCATCCTCTTGTTCATGATTCTGACACCCCCCTGGAGGATTATGTTCGAAAATCCGAGCTTCCTTTTTTTCCATACCGACGTATCAAGTTGACGTATATATTTTGGAAATTTTGATACAAAGTTGAAGTTCTTCACTATTTATTATCTATCAGAATCTTTCAAAATGAAATTGAGCTCCAACCTAACCTTTGATTTTGTTGAAGTCTGATGGCGAGATTAACAGAGGTAAGAAAATGCGGCAGATATAAATGGACAAATATGATCTGATCTTATTCAAGCGCTTTGGTACCAGGATAAGCTTTGCGGAGCGGGGTAGAGAAGATTGAGACAACTAACGATCTTTGAATGCAGATGAAAGATGCTAGTGAAGCCTGGATGAAGTCAGCAGGAGATTCACTTAATAATTCTTTGTGCAAGTTCGAGTTGAAGTATCAACATCATGAATTGAATTTGGTGGTCGTCCGTCGGCCGACATCAAATGTCTGAGCTCCCGAGTCCAGAAACACGTACCAGGTAAGAAACCGCGGCTAAGTAATGTAGGCCCCAGGATGCCGAAGCTTATCTTGCGTGAACTTGAAGCATGATGAAATGTAAAGCTAACTCCATAGTATGACGAGTCGAGCGCAGAGAAGAAGTCGCAATTGCGTTTAGCTTGTCGACCAAGTATAAGGCCATTTGATTGTACATGGTCAATAGCTTATCTCAGTACATCCTTATCAATCATGAGATGGACTCTTCTACAAGTTTGCACACGCAGCCCAGTCCCGAGTGTCATCTCAGATGACATGAAGAAAACTCAGATTGTCAGAAGCTGGTACTGGGTCTGAAGCATTTCTCTTTCTTCAAAGCGAACTTGATTAGATGTCACTTTGGCCAAAGCGCGGAAGGATACAGTTGGTTGAAGGAACTACAAATGTCTCAATTTTGTCCTCATATTCAAGAATTTCCCATGTTAGTTTCACCGTAGTACTCTGCAGGAGCCTTACTGGCTTCTATGTAATGAGTGAACTGGATGCTCAGCAGGTCTTGTAAACTAAATTATATGCAAAACTTGCTAAATCACTTCTGGTAAAACTTTCGATAATTTTGTATTCATCCTTCTTCAAGAACATTCTTCCAGAAATGATCCTGATCAGATTCAAGCCCTCAAGATTCAAATTATAAATTGAACCTACATGTACCCCCTGCAGTGTCAATCACAATACATACTGAGTTGATCTTCAACCAGTTTTCAGAAGATGAAGGGATTTTGAAAGGTTCAACTAGATGAAAACTATGATTCAAGGATCCGTAAGTGATCAAAAAAGATTACTCGAACGGCGGACACTCTGATCCTCATCAAGACCTTCAAGTTATTCTTCTTGAAAAGTCAAAGAAATCGTATAGTCAAAGCTAACAGGCCCCTTTCATAGAGCACTGAATTTCGACCATTTCTTCAATCAAACTATGAGCATTCAACACTTATAAATACCAGTACACATCACTCTAATAATTTGATTTCGAGTTTTACAGTTGTTCGAGAATCACTTCGGATCAGAAATTCGATAAATCAAACTCAGGTACTACCACTTGTTTCAATACACGAGTTTTAGGAGGATTTTCGAGAATTGTTGGCTTTGTGTCCTGATCAATGGTAAAAGTGCTCTGTACTGTATCTCCTGATGGCGGCCTTTCAAATTTCGAAGTGGTAGTGCCATCAAGTACGTTGTCAGAATTAATTTGTGGAGTTATTCCTCGCCGAGACTGGAATCGCCAGGTCCTTGCCACGCAGTACGCCAGTTGGTCACAACCTGTATTAATCAATAATCTCTGTGAGCTGATTCCATATATATTCACCCAGTCTCGTAACTGACCTGCTTCCAAGAGCCGTTTGATAGTCAACATGGCCAATTCATTTTCTTTTATAGAATTTGTAGAAGGAACTTGATCTTGATTCCGAATCGTGTTAAAGATCACCACTAGAGCGATACTTAAAGGTCCTGGTTGTTCATGTATCAACTCAGTCGAGATAGGCTTGAGAACCTCTGCTTTGGCAATATCTTCAAGGGGTGACTGGAGGAAGGATGATCAGCTCATCGAATATCAATCATGAGACAGAGAACTAAGATGACCAACCACAAGTACCCGAGAGGCAAGGTCTTTTTCCCCCAACATGTCAAACGCCCAACTCAATATCCATCGATTTCCATCCAAAAAGCCTTGGGGTATCACCGTCTCTCGAAGGAGGGACCGAAGCACAGGCCCATTATCGCCTTCATATGCTCGTGCGATCGCGATCCCTAGGGACCAATCAGCAAGTTGGCGAACACATACATTCACAGCGTCTTGTAAACGATCTGCCAATAGAAAGAATGATGCAGCAAAGCCTTGTGGTACAATGGAGGATTAAGATACAAGACATCAGTTGTTATTCATTAGACCGATCACATTTTATATTGCTTGAACGTACTAAACCGCTGTCGACTAATCAATGCGAAAGCGTTCTTTTGAGCTGCAGTCTTCCACCTTGGTTCATCAAAATCATTTGCTAGAAACTTGAGCATATGAGGTCGATCAGGATGACCATAGGCAACTCGCCAAAGTCCTAAGAGTAATCGCTTCTTTCGTAGTGCCATATAAAACACACTACACGCAGCTGGATCTCGATTCACCTCACGTGTTGCATTGATTTGTGAGCTTTCAGATATGCTTTGATACTCTTGCTGGGCTACGAGCTCTAGAGTTGAAAGGAGGGTTTCTTGTGGCTTCAACCAGAGAAAAACTCCCACTTTGCAAGCAAGCTTCCAATTTAATGTACACTTGACCGGTGGATGTGAAAGTAAAGCATACTTAGCAACATTGTCGATTACCTGTGTCGCTAGTAAAGCTTGACAAGAAGAATGATAAGCCAGCAAAATACCGGGATCTTGGGACTCCCCATATCCCACATCTGTTTGAGATTGATTGGATCTAGACAAATGTTGAACCAGCGAGAATAAGTATCGACATCCTAATTCGTCTATTCCACTGAAAGACGTTTGGATCTAGCCGAAGGGCATGTGGATTTTTGAGTGATGATTGACAACATCAGTTACGATCAATTGACATTGGAGCCAGCCAATCCGCGACAGTGACACGTATCAAAGAGCGACGTACAGTGAAGAGCTGCAGAGTCAAATCTGCTAGAGTTTTCTGCTCCTCCGGGGTCAAACTTGGTATTCGACTTTCACTAGCTGATCTAACGATAATGTCAAGGGATTGTTGCGAAATGGTACTCCCTGGCATACCAAGCGACACCATGGAATCTTTTTTTGGAGATCCATCGGTTATCAGATTAATGTCGCGAGTGGAAGGAAGATTTGGGCTATTGACAAGACTGAGAGCTTGTGGGTGGCCATCGAGTGCAGTGGCCAATGCATTGATAACCTGGGAAACACTTTCAAAATCTCCTGCATGTAGATAAATACGTTTATTAATCTCATGAAACACATCACACGAATTGAGGTTTGCGTACCAAAGTCAAGGTGGTTCTTCAATCGGATAGGATGCCAACAGGGCATCTGTGGATGCCTAGTGTCTGAAATACCTGAAGAGACGTATAAGTGACCATGTACTTTGTAGATCAAGCTTCTCTGTTCATTTACTGTGACCCACGATACTACATGAGCAGAGCCATCACTACAATTGGAGACCTCTAGAAAGTAAGACAAATGACCATATGTATCCAATGGATTGAGATGACTGACTTAGGACGGACATCGGCAGTACCCTTCCACCAGCCATCTGCACCACAGCTATAGACTTTGATAAACCCACCATAGGCAACAGCCAATGACGGGGGTTTAGAGTCCCACTTCTCAGAATCCGGCTTGATAGTATCCGCCGACCACTTAAGGTATGTATCAGCAGATTGATCATCCTCAAGATCGATAGACATTTCTTCCGCGCAGACAATACCCGATCCAAAAGATCTTAATCGCAAGTCAATGAGTATAAGTTTAAGATACTTTCGAGTGGATGGGGAAGAGATAAAGTATACTAGAAGGAAAGGTACCAACGTAATCAGTTTGATTAAAATCAGCTACCTTGAGTACAATATCAAACATACGTAGTGCTACAAATGACGACTTTGTTTCAAAGTTGAGTAAAGTGCAGGTGTCTGCGCTGGACCCTAAAATGTGTCTTACGGAGACCAATCTCGTCCATTCCTTCTTGTCACTCGTACTGTGGTCTGAATCACCACTTCTATCATAAGATTGCTTAAACTGAAGCACATTTCCATCGTTACCGGCAGCTAAAACTGATCTATAGGAATTACTCGTTAGAGAGGATATCCTAATTCGACTTTCAAGATCGGCGATCAGACTCGGAAGTGTTAGTGCGAATTTCGGCTCATGGTATGCAGGTTCAGTGTTCGCCGAAAGCGCAGGCAGCTCCCATACAAGCAAGCGATTAAGTGAAGTGAGGCTTTCAAGAAACCAATGAGTAGTGCTGTCTCTCGTAGAGGTCGCCTTGATAGCACTTGCGTATCTCTCAACTCGCTCATCAGGCTGAAGTCCAGTCAGTGCGAACTCGGAAACAACTGGCGCGGGTGACGAACTCTTGGGAGCAATCAGTCGAACCCGCAAAGGCGCCTCAGTCTGCGCTTGGCTTGATGAAAGCTGAATCCACCATTGAGTGGAGAATCCAACACTACAAATCACGTCATCGGCTATCCTTGGAACGTAAAGGCCGTTAGACGCGAGGGCGTCATTGACGGGCACGTCTAATCGTAAGTTGCAGATATCGAATGATATGTCAGATAATGAATGCATGACCGGTCCGTTGTTTCGATATTGGAGTTTCCACCAGTTGAATGTAACCGGGTTTGAAACGGTTTTGGGGGAAGTCGCAACCAATGTGTCGCTTGCTCCATCGCTCGCTGGAATGATCGATAAACCATGTGGTATTTCTTGCGCCAACGCGCTATCGATCGGCACCGTGTCGCAACACAGAAGTCCGGATGTGAATATTCCAAGGGGGATCTCGTGCCAGCAAAGTTGACCAGCCGAGGAGGCTGAGCGAGCAAAGATAATGAAAAAGGTGACTGTATGAACTTGATCTACATTCTTGGTCCTAGTAGTTCCTTGAATCATCACATTAGGGTCAGCTAATAATCGAACCATCTCCGAAGGCAGTTGATACAATTCACTGCAAGAACTCGAAGGTCGAATCAACGAAGGCTCCCGTGACATATGTATGTATCCGTTGGACAAGATGGAAAGTATTGAGCATCGTGAAAAGAGTTTCTCCTGGTTAGGGAGGGTAGGGATGTGCTTTGAATCTAGATAGAATGTCTGAATGACCCTGTGTGACCTAGAAGCAGGACAATTGATTACCCCTTGGTGAGACGGGTGGAGAACAGTCAGTTCGGGCTGAAGATTGCCCTGGGTTGTAAGATTTGATGGGGCTTCATCATCGGGTACGACTTCAAGGTTGTAGAAGTGCGTGTGTACCCCAGAAAATCGACTGTAAAGAGAGACAAATAGGGTTTTGTACGTCTCTTCGAACCCCAGAGTTGAAAATTGACCGAAGCTGATCGAACGTATAGCGGACGATAATGATAATCTCCGGTATGACATTTCGTAATTTTCTGCAAGGTGGTTTGAGGTTCGAGAGCTATAAAAATGAAGGATCGGACGATCCTGATAAATGTTATGAGCGTTCTGAGACACTAATCAACTCTTGAAATCGAAAACCCACTGCAACGTAGCTAGCGATATGGCAGCGGCCGTCGCTCGATCGAAAAAAATCAGCATTGGTGCATGATTCGGTGCTAAAAGATAGATTGTAGGTTAGTGGGGATCATTCAGTCAGCACAACCGAAAGCGCAGTGAGGCCAACAATTGGCGTGCGTCTCACTGAGTTGACCATCTGCCGACCCAGCGTGGTATGGTCACGAAGCCGTCCTCGCCAACTGGTTCGAGAGCTTCGTACAGAGATACACCGTCTTCGGCGATCAGTAAACAATCGTTTCCTTTCAAGATGATGGAAGTAATTCGTTTGCCACCGGACGTGAAAGAAGAATGCAAGTTCCAAAGTGCTCTAGAAGGTCGTGACTTGGATTTTGAAAAGACGACCACATAGGGACCAGAGGCAACTGCAAGCTACAAAAAGCAATTCCGGTTAGGACAGTGGATGACAGATACTACCAAGGAGTTTGTGATTAACTGACCTTGTTTTCTGTAGCACAAACCGCCTCAACCCCATGGAGTGAAGGCAACCATGATTGAGGTAGATGAGCAGATAAATCGATCACTTGTCGTAAGTTGAAGGAGGGTACATCAAAAACATTGACATTGATCCCAGAAGCGTAAATCTATCTACCAACACGAGAAATAGTTGAAAGTCAATAAGTCATTGTTTTTGTGTGATCGAGAGAATAGATAGGATAGAGACTTACGAGACAAGAATCCTCAGACGCAACCGAGGCACTTAGACAAAGAGCTCCACGAGATGGGTTGATGGCACTCAGAACCAAAGGGCGTGTCGATTCCCTGACGGCATTCATCGATGGTTTAGATGTTTGAGGGCCACCTTGCAAATCGAAGGAAATTGCAATCGTATTGGAATGCTGAGCGTGCAAGACGATCCCGAGAATGGACTGCACTCGATCCCTGTCCCGCGGTTGCAGGACCGAAAAAGAAATTGACGAGTCGGTACGCCCGACTTCTGCAAGTCAAGTGCAAGATCCAGTTGGCGGTCCGAGGACATCTCAGTTCACCATTTAAAAAGCTCAGCATCTTGATCTAGAAGCAACCATCTCCTATAAACTCGAATTGAACTGATTTATTTTATACCCAATTCGAATCAGCGGGAACGCCCTAATATCCACTTTCGGCCGCACAACCCCAGATCACTTGATATACAATACGTTGGCTTTTATGGCTCTGGAACTGATTTGTGCTCTATTTGTGAGGATTTTTTGATTTACACAAAGAATTTATCACATCTGAATTCATGTGAGAAGTTGACAGCCCTATATGAACTACTACAGCGCCATACTGAACTTTGAACTATTCGTGCAAGGTAAGTAATCGGGGTGGAGGCAGGGATTGACAAAGAAAAGGTGGTAGTGGTAGGATGTGATCACCTGCAAAAGACTTTCGATGTTTGAATTATTATCATGATTCCCAAATCAATCGGAAAACAACCCTAGATAGAGAACCCAAACCCCAAAAATAATTTCAAAGCATTCAAGGGAGTCAGACTGACTTTACTACTTTTCCATTCCTACAATATAATTTCCAAATTGGCTCAACCACAAAATGAAGAGAATCAAATGAAAGCATGCCTGTAAGTAATTTCAACTTCTTCATATTCTCTAAGATGAATAAAATGAGATCAAAGTTCCAGAAAGACACTCAAGACAATACAATATATAGGTAAAACTAAGTAGTACAATTTCCAATCCCACAAAAACTTCAAAACCTCTTTCTCCGCATATTGTTACAACTTCACCAAAGTCTAAATCCACTTTTCGCGCTCTGATCCACTTGAGGTGACTGTACTACAGTTCCATTTTACACGATGATCTAGCATCGTAGTTTCAATGATGAACTCAAGTAGTCGGATTGAACCGATGTTTGCAAATGAGTCGACAGGGATTAAAATACCTAAACATACCACGGGCCGTTAATCACAAAGAATCATCGGACATTAAAAAGGTAGGAAATACTCACAGATTTGAGCTTGCCCCACATATCATCTGATGCCACTTTTTCATCTTCTTCTTCAAAGTCTCGGTCATCATCACGAGCATCTGAAACAAAGTCCTAATATACATGACACATTGTGAGAATCATTGGATCTTTTGCCCAAGGAGAGATAATGAAGGATCCCTACCATTTCCATTGGTTTTATTGGTCGACCATCCACCCCTTGACATCGATAATAGACCCGGCTTCCAAAATACAAAGCGCAGAACATCACGAGCGGTAGGTATCTTTTGTAGGTGATCGACAATTAAAATCGCATTCATATCAGCTTCTTCCGCCTCTTGGTCACATGCCAAGAATTCAGAAGGGTAAGCTCTGAAATCTACATACCCAGTAACAAAAGTAGGAGTTGACCATTGCCCTTTTATCTGTGTACCAATAAAGAAACCACGAGTAAAGATGTGGATCAACTTAGATCAGCCAAATTTGATGATAACGTACAAAGACCGTGAAGGGATTGAATATCAATGTTAGTGAGCATAGTATCAGGCCGTGATATGCTCCCCAGCGTCTCTGAAGTATAAGGAAAGATGTTTATCAGTGCCAGACCACATGAACATCTTTCACGCCCCGGTGATGATGAAAATAAGGCTAGCTTACAAGGTATGAAACATAAGGAAAATCTGATCGATTAATTGACTGTGCTTGTACCCCTGAATCCCACCTTAGATATGTGATTAAGATACCGATCCATGTTTGTAGTCCAGCTACAGAGGACATAGCTGTTTTTAGGAGGGCAGGTCAAGAATGTGTCAGCGATGCTTTGCACGGATCCAGTATCATGTATATTCATCACTCAACTCGCTAGCCATGTAAAGACTTGACCGGCCCCATGGCCTCCAATAGACATGAAGCTCAAAAGTCCCATTGCGGCGGATACCAACACACATAACCAAGGTACACCCTGTGAATTGGTACGTCTAAGAATCGCAGGTGCATTCTCTGCTAGAGCTAAACCATGGAGTGCTCGAGAGGTAGTATACATGTCGCTGGAAGCAGCCGAGCATGCTGCAGTTAAAAGTGCTGCATTAATGATTCTAAATCAAATGGCACAGAGAATGATGGGTTAGATATAGGTTTATTGGACAGATGAGAAGGAGGCTATAGATCCCCCAATTTTGTCAAGAGCTTACGAAGGTAATGCTTTGATTCCCGAATCGTGAATTGCAATCACAAACGGTGAGCTAGCAGCGTTATGCGAGTTGAGATTCAGTCGAGGATCATCGCTAGAGACTATGAGTCCGATGACAAAGGTTCCCATGACGTAGAACATCAGAATCCGAATCGCAACTTTTCGAATAGCTGAAGGGAGGGTTTTTTTCGGATTTTTAGCCTCTCCTGCTGTTATCGCAGTGATCTCAGTACCGATGCATGAGAAAGTTGCTTGTATTAAGGCCGACCTGAAGGGAAAAATGTATGCAATGAGCGACTGCAAGAAACATTACTCTTGGCCAGGAAAAAAAGGAGGTACGGTCTTATGCTTACCAAAAACCCAAAAATCTACCAGTGACACCTTGTATTCCGAGGAATTGGACAAATGGTCCTGGATTTTTCCAATATCGAAAGCCAATTCTATCATGGTTTGGTCCACCACCCAAGTCTAGTTCACGCGAAATGGATATGTATTCATCAATATGCTTGAACAAAATCCCACAATGAATATGTGCTCACCAAGAACAATCCCTGTAATGATCAAAGACACTATAGTGACCACTTTGATAGAAGCAAACCTACGGAAAAGCAATCATCAGAAAATCTATCCCGAAAGTTCGATTTCTTTAGGGTCAGGGCTTACCAAAACTCAAACTCTCTGTAATGGAGATGCAAAATTATTAGCATTTGGATATTCAGATAGGCATCCTTGAAGCTTACCCGTAAAAATGAGTTGGCGCGAAGTTCATGCTTGTTACAAGAGCTAGTACCAGTATCATCCATACCGCATTATTGACAGATGTGGTCCAATAATTGATCAATATGGCTGAAGCGGAGATTTCAGCCGCCAAAACTAATAGGAGCGAAAATGTCAGCATCAAAGAGAGAGTTCGTATTGAACGGTCTTATAGCCGGAGAGGCTGATCAAAAAGGGCACACACCAAATGACCAACTGTTTGGAAATGGTGATACAATCAAGAAATGAATCATACAATTAGTAAGAAGTCATTCGTGAATGATCTAGGGACATGATACGAACGTGTACCAGTAATTCCATCCCAATGCCAGTGACAGAGATGGGTTGACAAATCTTTTGGCTAGCGTAACGTGACCACCGGCTATCGGGAGATATGAAACTAGATAGGAAGAATGGCGTGATCAATGGCGTGATTTCCTCAAAATTGCTCAAGATAAAACGGCCTCGAGGAAAGCATATATAAATTGGACGTCTACTCACTCATCTCACCCAGAGAGGCCATGACACACCATACGACTGTTACACCAGACCAATTAGCCTCAATCTACATTAAAGACATATATCTCTACTCAACTGGTTCCCATCACCGAATAACCCAATAACAGACCCAAAGGTCCACTTTGTCGCAAGGCATTGGCTGTTCCCAGGAAAAGACCCATACCAATGACCCCACCCATAGAGATCATCTATTCATCGAGTATTCACGATACATCAAGTCAATATCACAAATAGATCTTTTCAGAAAGATATCCAGCCCATCGAGCGAATCCACTAGACTCAGAATGATTGGGAGAAGAGAGCACAAACTCAACCTGAATGTGTCGACTCTTCATCCCTCGATGAAGTTTAGTTGAGTCACCGTGGCTGATTGGGGGTTCCCCAACTGGGGGCCCTTCGTGCTCGTAATAATCTGGTGATCCTTTCTTCATATCCATCTTTAAAGTCCAAGTCTGCAAGCTAAAAATATAGATGATCGTGTACTCGGAGAAATTGTAAATTCGGTAAGACGGGATTGGTGCGTAGCCCTCCTCGAGAATGTGAATGAAAGTGTGTTGACTAGGTATGAGTGATGCAATGAAGGAAGGAAAGGCTTTCGTAATGAGAGCTCTAATGTGAAATTTATCAGGTAAAAGCGATTGACGCGAGTGCAGGCTGCCTGGACGCCAAGGACACGGTGCGTATGAGTCTAGTGATGATATACCCCAGCTACATATCGCGAATGAGCTTAGCGCAGTTATCTAAATGGGAGAGATGCGTCTCTTTGCAATCTATCCGGTACTAACCGCGCTGTGATCATTGATTCATCCTTTGATAAAGAACCGAATGCGAAACACGTCACGGCCTTGAAGCGTACGTACACATCTTACAGGGCCGGTGATATTGGAAGCCTCCCCCGCTGCCAGTTCCCAGTCATTGTGGTCGTTCCGACACCAACCGGCTGTACGTGTACTGCGGGAGCCTTTCGAAACGCTTCGCAAGAGTTATACCGCTGGGATCAATGTTGAGAAGCCTTTATCAGAAACCTTTGCCTCTTTACACTTTATCTATGTTCGAGGTCAATTCTTGCCGATGTATCAGGTCAATCAGCACCGAGACTTGACCTACCTGCAGCATGGAGTCCTCTGGTAGCAGTACATCATGTATGTGTACATGGGTTTTCGTATCTTGTAGGTGATGTGGCCCAAGAGTCTATGACCTGTAGAGCTGGGCGGAGTGAGGGCCAAAGATGATAAGGTGAACGCGAGTTTGCGCAACACGGTGGGGCTCAGATTGGCTATCTAGAAAAACTTCAAGCTCGAGAGCGATGTAGACTGCGATTTTCTTCGCCCCTCATGAGAGTATATCGATATCCTTCAGATATTTAAGCTGCGCTGAGCCTTGTCTTCAATTGAGGTGCATCATGTGCGATTGACTGCTTTTATGATACGGCCATGCGATTCTGATTGGCCGAATAGCCCACCCGATACTTTGGTATCATCCCATTGTTCAAAACTTGTCCCTGTTTCGTTTCCCACCTGCCTCGTAAGGTCTGGCGAAGACTCGTGCGTCTGCGGTTGTATGGATGTACATACGTATCTCTGATGACGGATTTGGATAAGAGACCTCCTATGATGTAACTAAAGATAAGCCACATATTTCTACTTCACAGTTTCAGTTCCCGAGACAAATTGTATCTCCGGTTTCAGGGGGCCATCGTTATCTCTGAAGGGCTTTCCGAATCGACGTGCCGGCGATGCCCCACAACGCAAAATGCACACCCTTGCCAGCATTTGTCAGGTTCTTCAATCGCGCTGAGCTATGTATATCAAGCGAGGATAACGAGCAATAGAATTGAGCCGCAGCTCACACAAGTTTGATCTGTTTCTTATACATAATTTGTTTTTATCAATGAATCCCCACATCTTGAGAAACCTTATAGACTGATCAAGCAAAGGTCTTTCAACTGGAACTAACATTGTAGGGGTAGACCCAAAAAAATGTGGCTCTTTTTGGTCCTCGAGATAGGAGCTGGACTCTACATACCTGATGAATTGAGTCTACCTGATGGGTCACTTTGACTTGACAAGGCCCCATTGATCCGAATCCCTCACTTTGAGTTGTTTGTCACTCAGATTTGTTTGCATAGCAACCAAAGCCCAATTTGAACGAAAGCTTCAGAGATCTCAATCTGAGTAATTTGAAAGGAGGTACTCATATTTAATCTTCCATTTAATCATCATCAAGAAAAGAAGTTGAGTGGGGGTTTTCACATTTTTCTTTACAGTGAGAACATTGTATGTTTGAATATTGGAGTCAAATTATGATCATTGGTATTGTCAGATATGGTCAAGGAGTATAGTGTGGCCTAGTGTGGCGCAATGTAAACAGGTAAAAAATTCTCAGGTAAAACAACTGATCATTCATTGAATTTATGGGCTAAGTTTCGAGATTTTTCAGTGTGGTGTGGATTGATGGTTGAGTTTGCAATCTAATAATGTAGTATGAGGAAGAATGTGTCAAGTGGAGAGTTACTCACAGACTTGTGATGTGTGATTTAATTGAGTTTTGATTTGTACAACAAAGAAGGAAATAGCAACAAGAGCATTGCACCGTGGATACATGATGAACTATCAAGTATTTGCGCGTGTTTTTGAGGAAATCCAGATCCACAAATCAAGGCACTGAAAGTTTCTTATCTTTGAGTTTGAAGTGTATCAATGAACCATGGTCACGAAAAATCAATTGAGGGGGTATATTTTGATCTCTAGGTACTTCTTGAGTGCATAGTATCCATGTCAGGATTCATAGACATCAAGATCTTGAAGCTCAATTTACTAAATTAACCACTTGCCACGGTACATCACATCATGGAGATTGTAGTGTTTAATTTTTCCACAAGTGTAGTATTACAAATGGTCTTTAAGCATCAAACTACAATGGATTATCACCATATACTTTCATTTACCTTATCTCATCAATCAAGTAAATCAACTTATACTTAAAGATCCTTAAGATCTTCCTCCACATAATCTTTCAATATCTTCAACAGATTTAACAGCAGTAGTCAAATTCTCACATCCTTTTTCCCTTACCACAACACTAAAAATATTGAAATCATTGTAAAACTCATTAGCTTTCACTTTCCATTGATTTTGAGTTGGAGCCAAAAAGGACAAAAAATATCACTCAACTTATCTTCAATTCTGATACCTCCTACATTCATATACTTTTTCAAAAGTTCATGATTAATAAATTTTGACTCTTTAAACGGTTCTAATAAGAATTTATTAAAATATATTCCTGGCTGAAAATTGTATAAAAGATGTTCATCAATAACCAGAAGTGCCTTTGAGAATTCATTCAAATGTAAAGAAATTATAAAACTTACCTCAACAGTGACTACATTTCCAACTTCTAATGTCCTTTGAAGACGCAAATATTTGAAAGCAGGATTAAGAGTACTTTTACCATTAGGTAATCCATCGACATCATGAGTCTGACCAATAAACATGAATCAATAAGCTCTAAGAGAACAATGATGAGAAAAGAAATAGTTTCAGAGAAGACGAACATCAAGACCTAAGAAATGACCGATACCATGAGGAAAGAAAGGAATCACATGTCCACCCTCATAACATTCATCTATGGTCAAGTTTTGTAGGATTCCCAGTTTGAGTAAGCCTTTAGCTGCAATCTTATGCCTAAAAATTTCAAAATCCAAACAAATGATTTTTCAGTCAATTCAACTTTTTAGAATCAAGATCTTTGAATCAAATATCAAGTGTTCAATTTTGAGATTGAGAAAAAACAGAGCTCTATAACTTACATTAAGATTTGAATCTCATTCCAATCTACACCCGGAGCAATAATTTCAATAGCTTTCTAAAAACAAAAACAAAAAAGAACCTAGTGATGAATTTTAATTAATCTAAGACTTTGAAAGGAATTCATCGAAATCAAGAAAGTTGCCTTACTTCTTGCATTTCTAATACGATCTCATAAATCTCTTTACATTGATTATTGAACTTTCCATTTGAACTTAAAGGAATTGTACGAGTGATATCTGATGCATATCCCATCATTTCACATCCTGCATCCATCAAGAGTAAGCCATCGAAAGATTCTGAAATCTTTTCATCATTATTGACGTAATGTAAAGTACCTGCATTGATTCCATGACCTAAAGATGTGAAAATTCGTAATCTTATGATTAGTTTCCTCAAGGAACACTAAAAGTCAATAATGTTTTGGCTTACCAAAGATAGGTAAATAAGCTTGATGATTTGAACCTAATCTTTTACATTCATTTACAAAGATCAATTCCGCATCAGTTTCAGACTTGAATTTCTCTTTGCTTGAAGATTTCATTACAGTTTCATGAGCTTGACTAGAGATTTGATTAGCTAATTTCATAATTTGAATTTCTTCTTCTGTTTTAATTGTACGAGATTGATGTAAAGCTTTTAAAAGGTTTGCAGAAGGATTTAACTCAAACCCTTTTACATCTGATTTAGAATTCGGTAAAACTAAAATTGAATGAGGTTTGATAAGTTGATTTAAATGTGAAGATAATTGATCTTGATATTTAACTTCGTTTAGGTTCGGTAACAATTTTAAAAGGTCTTCTGGTTTGGGCGGTAAACCACACCACATCACTTCATCTGGGTCTAGATTCGGTATAAAGAGAGTTGTGAAGATATTTTCTGGTTTTACTTTCTCTTCTGTTTGATGATCGAATTCTGGTAATAAATTGATTACTACTGATCCACCTCTAAGATCTTTAGCACCTGTCAGATACATCTAAAAGAAACGACAGAGATGGATTCCATCAACTCTTTTATTATTCAAAACACGATTGGATTGATATTGTTGTTGAAAATGACTTACAAAGTTGGCTTCTTGATGAAAAGACAATTCTCGATCAGTATCATCTCTACAACACGTTCGATTACTTTCTAAGTAAATCACAGGTCTGATTTTGTGATCTATTTTCAAAAGTCTTTCGAATACCTTGGCTGCATGTTTTCGAGCTTTTGATCGAAATTGAAGAAACATAAAGTGCTTCAATATTTCATTGGTGTCTGAATGAGAGGCCTTTTTTATTATTTAGTTGATGAAATGCTTTACTTACATGGATAAATCATTTTAGCAAGTATGAAGTCTAATTCAGATCGAAGTGGATGAGATTGATGAGATAGTGAATGTGATACTCGATTGCTTGATGGTCAACATGCTTTCTCTCGGGCCGGGTCTTAACTTTTGGTGACATCATTGCGGTTCACCACTTTTAAGTTTTGACAAAATAGCAAAGCATCCACCCTAATGATAATATTGTACATGTTATATAAAACATTCAAGGCTCAAGTTCCTGTCTAAAAGACTCAAATTGCCCTCATCTAACATTCAAAGGATTTCACGGGGGAATCAATTGGATAAACAAGCAGAACACTATTATTGGTCTATCCAGGTCCCAGGAGGGAGAGGCTGAGCTAAAACCCCCCAAAAAACTATTTGTCCGAATTTTCTGTTTCTTTGAACTGGAATTTTTGTTTTGCTGAAAACTTTGTTGTTCAGCTTCTAAAGTCAATTCTTACTTTTAAAGGAATATTTCAGTGCTTTCACAGTCATTTGATCTCAACCATCCCTCTCTATACATGTAGCTACAAACTTCTTTCTGGAATCTTATATAAATGACTGCCAGTGCCTCTGGATGTATCTAATTCAACTACCTTTGCGAGCAGAACAAGATAATGATTTTAACTGATTGTTCTGTACTCTCAAAGAAGATCTGGTACCTTTCAGCAGGGGGTGCAAGTGTTCTTTACACTTGGCTACAACTTAACTGAGTTCCATTTGTCGTACACAACCTGACCTCTATCAGCAGGATCGTACCAATAACTCAACTGAGATGCTGCTTAGCTGACTCGATTTTATAGTGTCGTTCCACAAGCTCATCCCCTGCCTGCTTCCAGGTATGCACAACTTATTGAGTTAACTGACTTACGGGTCATGGATTTTTATGTCTTTATAATCAAATAGAGTACATTCTTCATTTATTAGCCGTCCAGTGAAAGTTGACCCACTGCAACACCCACTCCACCCAGTTTTTCAATCCTTTCTTGTTCCTGCCTTGCTCTTTCCGCTTCAGTCTCTTCTCGATACTTGGCCAAATCCCATTCATCACCTTCCTCTTCTCCTGCTTCTCCGTCTGAGTATGCATCGTCTCCATATACTCCAGTGGTATCGAACCTAGAGAACACATAACCAAAAACGAGTCAGTAGAGTGTTGAAAAGATCAAAGAGGCAAAATTCGACCATAACAAACGTAAAGAGATCTCTTCCACTCATTCCATTCATTCGTCCAGCTGCAGCCTGTTGTTCTTTCAATTTCCTCTTGCCTTCTTCTTCCACCATCTTCTTTGATAATCTTTCATCTTTCCATTTGGCAAAGGTTTCCTTGGTGACAGGTGTTAAACTTTTACCTAACGTATGTCGTTCTTTTTCAAGAAAATCTTCTAAACTTAATTCATTCTTTTTAGCCTCTTCTTGATCTTTTTTCCTTTGTGCTTTTAACACGAAACCAGGTGGAAGAGCATGTCTATACTTGCAATTCACACCTCCTGATGGGCATTCCTATTAAGGATGATGAATGAGTATTAGATATAGGTCTAAAGTATGGCCGAAAATGAATTCTTACCCAAAACCATCCGTACTTTCCACTTTCGATCGCTTCGATAAAATTTTTGCACACAACTGTACAAGAAAAGCAAAGGGTGACATAGATGTTAGAATCATGGGATGCATTCTTTTCACTCGGAGTGTAGACAAGAAGAAAATGACAAACTATCTGTTGTTGTCTTGGGATTACCCTGCTTTGATAATACAACACTTAATAATTTCGCGTCATCCCATGTGTCCATAGTGTCTAAAGTTTCAAGGCAAAAACTTGGGAGGATGATAAGTAGCTGTATCATTCTACATTATTTGAACGCGAGGAAAACACTTTACCTGTCTCTTTGTTCAAGTCTCGGTTTGTGTCACGTCCGTCTGTGTAAAGATCTTTCTTTGTAGTTTTCCTACCGATATCCAAATCGTGACTGAATTTACACTTGTTCCTAACCAGAAAAAAACGACAAATTGTAAGCTACATCTTGACTGTGACCTTCATTGAACAACACATCATTTACCCTTTTTCACAATGTCCAGCTTTGAAGTTTTGACAAAGGACAGTTTTAGGATCTGTACCGAACGGGACCTAGGTTTTCAAAAAGTAATCCGATTCAGAAAGTGTACCACAAAAGATCGCAGACGAAATCAAAAGAAATGTGATGAAATTTCGTCTGGATAAGGTGAGGTGTATGAAGATGCAAAGCAAAAGAATCTAGATGAATTGACTTTTTGAACTACTTGAACCGGTTGGAAAAGTGCTTGTAATTCTTCCTTTCGTTTCCTCTCTTGTTCTTTTTCCCTTTCTTTATCCATTCTAGCTTTCTCTTTAGCCATAACTTCTTTACTTTTACCTACTTGAGAAGCTTGTTGTTTGGCAAGTGCGATTGCTGCTTGACCTTTTCCTCCTTTTTTGTTCTGAATCATATTAGAAAGATCATGTTAGAAAGATCATGTTATTGTTTTTGGTTGTATTTTCCCCAGAGATGGTTATTATCGTATTTTCTGATATTGGTCTCTAGAGATTCGAGTTGATATAGACTAACCTTCATTCCGAACCTTGAGGAAAAGTGTAAAAGATGATGTTGGAAGTGGATAATGCGATGGATCGTTGGAAAAGCAAGGGAGGAAGGAAAATATCAAAGGAACTTGATTAGCCAGACGATCCCTGGAGATGAAAACCCTTGCATCTTCACATGGGTTGTAAAAGTATCGAACATACGTTTTATCCACTGCAGCCTTGGATGACCCAGCACCACCCTTATCCACTTTTTTTGGTGGCATTTCGATAATCGATTTTCTTTCTGTGATTGATAACTCCGACGAAAACCAGAGGGGTAAATGTGAAGCGAGTCCGAATCGTATTGTTGTTTCCACAAATCGAAGCTAATTGATATATTTGACTCGATTGCAGATATTGAAGCCTGAAGGTGCTAAATGAGAATATGGGCGGAGAGAGTGGAAAGATTCCAACTTGAACTTCAGAACACTCGGGCTGGATTCATTCTGATATCCGGACCGAAACGCGGACTTCGAGCTGGACGGAGTCTCGAGCTGCTGTCTCACTCGGGGCCAACACATGTGATGTATTGAATAATGAATTTGTATGTAAACATCAGCAGAGCTCGGCGTCCTCTGCAGACTGCAGCAATGCAGAAAACGAACAGAGCTACGCAGCGAGTATGCTCGCCACAACGGTAACGTAAAGTAGAGACTGAGAGTTGGCTTCTGCATGAGATTTGGTCTAACTGTGATGTTTTGCGGGCTTTGTTTGAAACCTGTAGAAGACAAACGTACGATGAAGTAAACAGATTCCTCACAAGCATCTCGATTCTCAGTCGGAACAATTATCAAATAGATTTCACTTTCGAAGTGTGCCATCTGGACGCGTCCCAAAAGATAGTCACCAGTTCAAAGTGAACGAAAACTCAGTGACAAACTCAACCTGTACGTGAAATAATATTTACTAATGAGTGAGAATTTCCAACCAGGCAAATTATCAGACCACGATGGTGCTACAGGATGTGTATTGTACTCTGCCAGACATATGTTCACAGGATATATGTGAAGCTTGGTATTCACAAGAAAACAATCTGACGGGCTTCACAACTCTGATTCGAAAGTCAATCATCTCTGCTTGATAGGCCGAAACGATCACGATCTTTGTCATTCGAAAACCTCTCTTCGTGAGTTTGAAGTGAGCAGGGTTAAATAAAAGTTAAAAATTCATAAGAAATCCAGCATGGCTATTATCATTATCTAGGGTTATAATAAATAAAGGTAAAGAAGAAATCAATGTATTAAATTAATTATAGTGAGAATAGGAAGTAGTTAGTATAACGAAAGTGAGAAGTCGCGTGCAATACAACCAGCAAATTATTGAAAAAATTGAATTCAGATAAGGAAGGTGGATTACGAAAGTGTTTTTTTTCTGATTTGTAAATACGAAATAAGCAAAAGATCCAAAGAAACGAAATTATGACTGCGACCGTTAATAATAAAAAACCCACAAAACGATCATCACGAAAATGCAAACCCAAAAAAGAATCAAATTTGGAGTTCAAAAAGAACGACAGTAGCTATAGAACGAATTACAATCACGAAGTACCGCCCGGAAGGAAATGAAAGTTTTGACTGATGAGATTGAGACTGAGGTAGGAAGAAAAGGTCATAAGGCAGGAAGCTTAGTCCTACTGAAAGATCGTTGACAATAATAAGCGAAGATTGAGTAGATAGAGCAGCACGGTTAGATTTTGAGTAATGAGACGTGGTGAAATTGAGGGACTGCTTTATTTTCAAAAGAAACCTGTTTATCTGGGTAGGGTGAGCATCGAGTGGGGAGTGCAAATAAAAAGAAGATAGGTTGGCCCCAGAAAAGATGAAGACGGAAGATGAAGAAAATTGAAGTCCGTTGATGCGGTCGAAGAGACTGGAGCAAAAATTTCCAGAAGGCACTCAAACATTCTTCAGAAAAGTTATTCGCGATGTACATGTGACCAAGAAGGTTCTACATTGTGATGTTCTGAAAATTCCTGCTTAGATGATTTCGGGCGATGATCAACCAGATCACCATTTTCAGCACAACTTGCAGATAGCTTTCCAAAGACGTCGGATGTCAACAGTGAATGCGATCCCGGTGAAGTGTTCATTTGTAGTGTATGTGAAGCCGGTCGAAGTACTGAGGAGAGGTCTATACCAGGCGTAGGGGGATTATGAACATACTGAGAGCGCTGATTTAATGATGGAGTCAAAAAGCGAGCGTTCGAGGAGAGGGGCTGGGAGGAATCAGCCAGCTTAAATGTTGAAGGGTAAGTTCCACATTCTGCAGGGCGAGAACCGCATATGTTGGAAGTGCTTGTGTTGAAGCCGACTCTGTAAGCTTCAGAAGTGGCAGGGTACGCAGAATAATAGGTTTGGGTGTTGGCCTGTTCACTTGAAGGATAAAAAGTGTGGGCGTACGTCGATGGAGTCGAAACATCATCATAATTAGAGGCGGGGTAGGCTGGAGTGGCTCGCGGATCGGAGGCTGCGTTGGACATTACTGCATTGGAATTTGAGACGGAGTCAAGTAGATAGCTCGGCGACTGCATGGGAGTAGTATAGTAATGACTGCCATTCGCAAACTCATATGGGCGTTGTATCGTCGCTGGAGGAGTCGAACTATGAGCGCTAACCCAGTCACTTGCCCATCGATCGGATGCCCGTAGCTGATTAACTCCTGTAGATACTTCAGTAGAATGTATGATAGGTGTGGAAGTTGAACTCGGCTGCGGGTCGTTTGCTCCTCTTGTTCTCTTGGACGCGTGAGTGATTTGTTGACTGTGATTTTGGTGCTCGCCCTCGTGTCGTGGTGAAGTGAATGCTGAGTATTCATCAGATGCACGATGATTCTCTTCGCGAAGCCGTTTGAGGCTTGAGCTCCCTTCTAAGACTCCTTGAGGGAGATTGGTCTGATTGGTGCCCATTCTCAGGTGCAGCTCGGTTCTCTTACGCTGCAAATCACGCGAGTTCCAGCGATTTCTGTTTGTAAAGACAAATATGATCACACCGGAGAAGACGTCAACATGAGTTGCAATAGTGTATTTGAGAAAAATATCTTCTGCTAACTTTATTGCGTTTTCTGGTCGACCGGGAAGATACTTGGCCACTTCGCACCACTTGTTAGCTTGTAGAGTTTGTTGCATGGTAATTATCACCAAATCCTCGTCATGCCTGAAGGCCGAGTGATCGACTATGAAGAACACACACCCCTCATGATGAGCACAGTCCTGCAAGGGACCATATTTCAACGAAAGAAAGACTTACTATCAGGCGAGAGCTGATTGGTCCAGCGTTCTCTACATTGTTTCCCTGTTCGACTTCCGACACGTCTGGCAATCTCGACCCATTTTCCAGTCCCAAGATGGCTGACCCAATACATGAGCGATGCATCTTCTGTCTTATGCCACGGCCCCTTAGCCTTGTGGAGCGTTTCGGGGGGAGGACCTGATATAGGATCCAGCGGATGTTGCGTGCGCCCTGGGCCGGATCGAGACCTAGCTGAAGTACGAGTAGGTGCCATCGATGAAGGGGATGGCGTTGTAAAAGTTGGCTGGTGTTCGGAGAGTTTGTCATTTGAAACTTGAGCAAAATTGAAAGCCTGTAGCAAACTTGCTCGTTCTAGCCCATCGAGAGGCGAGGGAGTCTGTTGCACGCGGTCACACATAATCTGTTCTGACTCGCCCTCGTCACCCGCAACTTCTACCTGTTCAGAAACCCCACCGGAAGCGGGACGAGAGCCAAGGCCATTGAACGCTTTCTCTGATCCATCTGAAGAAGTGCGATCTAGGCCTTGCATGGCGAGAGTATACGAAGGAGCGCCGACAACACCCGAGGAACCCGAGGAGCCAGGTGAAGGGGTAAAGGATCCCGAATCTTCCATTCGGATGAGGTGATCAGGCAGATTTGTAGGTGTCATGCACATATCTGGCGACCTTGTCCATTGTGTCGAAGGAATGGAAGGACCCGAATGTGGTATAGGGGAAGGTTTGAGTTCAATCAAGGCAGACATCTTGCTAGGACGTAGTTTGGTTACTAATATTCTGCAAATTAATGGCAATACTACAACTGGTAGGATGTAGCGTGGACGGATCCAATAAAGACTGCCGCAAACAACTGATTAAGGAGATTGATGTCAATAACCGAATCCTCAAAGTCCAAGCCGTCGGTATGGCATTCATGACTGCTGTATTGTCCTAGGGGTGAATGTAACCAAAACCAAACTTACGATCGGAGGTAAAGCTCTTGAGAAATCAAACTCGTCTGCTGAAAAATTACTACAATCATTTGTCAGAAATGTCCTCATTGTCACTCAAAAGTAAGGATGAAAGTCTGAAGCCAAAGCATCCAACTTCATAAGAAAAAGCTCGGCGGACGAGAGGTGACTCACAAACTGAAGTTGAATGTTTCAACGGAAAATGTCTTATCAGAGAAGAACCGGCTGATAAAATGAAAGATGTTAGGTATGCCGTCTCTTGTGATTACAATTGCTGATCCGTTTTTCTGTGTCTGATCCACCGACTGGAATATCAAAATGATAATATATCCGAAAATTACTATCAGAGTAAAGTAAAAAGATGGATATAAGTTTTTTTTGGCTCCTGTCTTGGTACCAATCAATATTATCCAGCAGCCTGCGAAACGCAATGAATAGTTGGGAGTTTGAAGGTTAAGAAAACGGAAGATAGTGATATTAAGAGATATTGAAATAAATGTTTAAAGAGGGGTAGAAGAGAATGTAAACTGGTGATGGGATCACAATGGTTTTGAAGTAAGTCAGTCACTCCTCTTGACTTCTAGAATACAATATGCATTTGCTCTGTCGCCTTCAATATTTTATTTAGTCAAAAAGGGAGAAAAAATTGATCCGTGCAAGATCCCAACCACAATAATTGTGTATACACAGACCACCGAAGAGAAAAAAAGGCAAAAAGAGAGGAGGTTGGGTAGAAAAAACGTTACGTAGAGTAAAAGGAAATAAAATGACAATGGGCTCCTTACTGTAGTTGATCACCAACAGCCGCTAAAACACTTATATGTTCGTCGCCCGTGGTAGTAGAAAGAATAGGAGGACGAGTGGCAAAAACAGATTGACTGATTTAGCGAGAAAGTTCAATGGCAAAGCGTTTTAGTTCGAATAACATGTACGTCGACCAAGATTCACCAGAAAGCCGTTATGGAACGCGACAAAAGATATATATAATGGTTATAACAGCCAGACGGGTGGGGTCGGCGGGTTACCGGGAGCTAATGGAGACACTGATGATGATGAGAAAAGACGATTTTTTTTCTTCTCTGAGATCTGGAGGTTGAAGATGTCACAAAGATAGATAAAGTGGTTTGATGGGGGTGAGTGATGGTAAGTGATTGCTTCTGCCGTTTGCGTGAGATCGGGTCGGTAAGCGACCGTCTTTCGTAAGGTAGGCGACTGAATGATGAATTCGCGAAATGAAGAGTGATAAAAGAGGGAGAGATCAAGAGTCTTGGAAATATAAGAGCAGGTAATCCGGTATCAAAGGAAAAACGTGGAGGCTGTACTCTGGAGGAAGAAGAGGTACCAAAAGAAGGGTCATTTGAGGACATATGAAGATCAAGAAGGGGGGGCCTGCAAAAAAACAGGGCAATCTGCAGGCGATCAACAAAAAATAGCAAGAGACAGATAACCACACTGTGACTCTCAAACATAGCGACCCGCTGAGTGAGGCACGCTTGATGAAATGCACTTACAGTTGAGGAAATGAAGGATAGCGCTTATAGACATCGGAGGATTAGAAATCGATAGCCCTGAACCCAGGAATGAGAAACCAGGTCGGGGTTATAAGGTACTACTTACTTTAATTGCTTTCATCATCACAATTTTCTTTATCGAAACATCGTAAGACAATCCGATTCTATCTCTCTCTTTCTTCCAATACCCACTATTGGTAAGTCGCGAGTGAGTGGTCAACAAACACCAAAAGGAAGTTCGGGGCTCGAAGAACCTGTTGGTATTTGTGACGATGATGAAAGTGATACCGATGTGAATGACTGACGCACAGAAGGGAAATGGATGCATATCCCATTATCAATCGACTCGAGAGCTACGAGGTGCAGTCAATTAGATCTCTAATCTTATATCATTACTCGTCATTGTTGTTAGCGTCCACTCGAGGCGACTCCGTCTGGAGAAGAGGGTGAAGGGTCAAATTGCAGATTGAATGTGAAGAGAACCGTGGCCCACTTGTGCACTCAAATTCAAAATGGAACCAACTCACTCCAAGCAATGATTGGTGCCCATGTTTATGTAAAAATTGGACGATCGCATGAACAGCATGGACCCCACTTTATTTGTATACTGCAGTCTCAAAATGTCCAAAGCCGACATGAGGTCGAATTCAGCCGGCGTTCGGGTTCGAAGGCTTGAAGACGCCGAATGATTGAAATTCGACGGTGAGCCAGCTTGCGCTAGAGCTGTATAAAAAACCGGTTTTCGTTTGCCGTCATCAACCAAGGTGTAAAAAGCCGGAGCTATGTCATCTGTTAGAACGTCAATCACTTACAAGATCAGAAAGTATGATAACATTGAGCTTACATCAAATGATTTCGGATATGAGCACATTGCCAACTAGTGACTTTGAAAAGTAATCCTATCCTTAGCGTGACGTAAACCAGTACGCATCGACATTTATTGTTCGCGTCCTTACTAGTGCGTGTACTCATACTGTGCCTCGCCGAGCTTGATATGTAGATCAGAAATTTAGTGCGCGCTGGCAGCCGATTGAGCTCAAGCTGCTCGAGTCTCGAGTCAGTCTAGGGTTCACTGCGCATATCTCTCTGCAGGAAAAAGGTTTATGAACAAATTCATCAACTTTCTAAATCACTCTCTTCAATATGTGGAGGCTGAAATATGAGAGGTGCAGGGCTAACTGAGCGCCCCTATCACGAACTGATTTCGTTTGAAATCTTGGTCCATGGATTCATGATAATTTCAGCTTTGGTGTCTCAGCTAATCAGCCAAAGTCAAAGATTTGGCTCTGGTGATGCCACATGCAATCAGTTTACAAGTAATTAAATTGTATTTCACCCATTGGCTACCTATCTAATTTGCCAAAGTTTGGTCATTGTCAAAAACATTCGGATACCTCAGCGGCATTTTGAGGCATTTCGGGCCAGCTTGTCAAGTAGGAATCAACAGTGACTTGTTAGTCCCTCAGCCGTTCTCAATTACATCGCATGCTCCGCTGACCTCTCAATTTTCTGATCTTACATCTTAGGCCTTTTCTCCGGCGAGAAGTCTCAAGTCAGACGGAAAATAAGATGTAAGGGGGTGCCAATTATGCAGCTACCGATCGGACGTTCAGACGTCACTCACCTCACTCACCCTCAAGTAAGTCACCAGCAGTTTCGAGATCAGGACCGAATCCAAATGATCACAGGCTCGCTCGGAAAGGCTGAGGAGGGCTAAGATAAGGATGAGAGAGTATGCTTAAACTTTCCAGCAGATTTCATGCTCTTCTTCTTCACCCGTTCAGAATCACCTGCAAAGATACTTTTTGTTGAGATCTTTAATTCAGCCGAACATACCAAATGAGCCAACCGGGAGGTATCCCCTGAAATGACTACCCCCAAAAAGTGTGAACATTATTGGTGACTTTTGCAGATATGTGTAACTCATGATTGCATGTATCTGGGCAACTCATAGCGACAAAGACAGAAATAAGTTGTGAGTGAATGTGAAAAGATGGATTTTCTCAAACACCCAGCCTCCATGAATTCCCTTTTGTGACATAGGTCATTGATCAACGTTGTGTGCTCAATTATTTGCGACCCTTTCCATCTTGAAAGCCAACTCTCTGTGTGAACCTCAATTCATTGTATGAGGTTGTTCAGATGCAAGGCGATCAGGCTCTATGTAGTTGCTAGATAATCATCCAAATTCTAACGGAGACAAACCTATGCATGCTTCAAGAATCTTGATAATATCGAATGTTGGTCTCGTAAATGAAGTGTTCCAAACCCAGGTATGTCAATTGCCTAAGGCCAGGTGCTATGTAGGTAGAAGTCTCTTCCTTCTTATGCAAACACCTGAATCCTGAAGCTAACCTTTCAGGATGTTTGAATCCTACCAGGCGTCTTGTTACAAATGTTCTCCTTTCATTCATCACCACGCCTAGAGCTGATACAAAACAATTCAAGACTCTCTCATTGTTGCCTACCATTCTATCCTGGAACAACAACCCATGGCAACAAGTGGGCCTACAGAAAGCTACCTTTAGGAGTTCATGTACTATCTGTAATGGATCAATTACAAAGGTTTTGTCAGATCTGCAATGTACTTCACTTTGATCTGAGGGAGATGATATTGTAGGAGATTGAGATACATTTACAGATCACTAGGTTTCCTTTTTACTACTTAAAGCTGATCCGTCTACTCCAGCACCCACATCCACTCCCAAATCCTTTTCATCCCCATTTCATCCTCCTTCTCCTTCTTCAAGTTCAATAACAACTCATAAACCTCCAGATCAACTTAATTCTTGTGGTTCAAGTAGTTTATCTACTCTTTCTGCTCTGACCAGACCTACATCTAAATTATTGTAAATAAATCAAAAGAATTTTTGAAGTATCAAATTGTATGCCATTCTTTCAAAATTGTATTGATTAGGTTTATTTCATTTACATTTAATGTTTGTATTTCTTCTCTTCTAAGTTGCTTTCTCTCTGTCTGCCTCTTTGTTGTACATACAGGGTTGACAATCTTCAGACAGACTTATTCAAACTCTTTGTTCTGCTTCTGTTTCTTATTTTATTCAAGTGTTCTACCCTTTTTGACTGTTGCCGGTATTACTGAGTGAACTTCACCTTTTCTTAATCTCTCAAAAACAATCTTAATAAAGGGTCTTGAATGACTTCTTTTGTATCAGTAATAGGGATGAAGTGCCTTACAATGGTGAAAATTCATTGGCAATGATAAAATTACAAATTGTAACTCACTGTGAGCTCAACAATGACCATGAACTTAAACCATTGGAAGCATCATAAAAGAAACCGTGATACCTCATTGGTTTTTTATCTTGATTTTGAGATTTTTAATCCAAGGAGTAAATTCAATTTTACACAGTAGAATCAATTGACTTAATCAACCTACTTCACATTCTTTAGAAAATGAAAAGATTGTTGGTGTACGTAAATATCACACACTATGATATCTACTACCACCAAATAGTTCCAATTACTCCTGCAGACTTCCAGTCACTACTCACTACTGATCAAATTACTAATATGCTTATAGACATTCGATGCTTGTACATTTCATATATATTCTCTCTCTTTCCATAGCCTGTGTTGTTTAGGTGCTGGTTCTTTTTCTCTCTTCACTCAAACATCATTATTGTGCCATACTCTACTCCATTTTTCAATATATTCATTAATTAGAGCGCTAACAAGGCTGTGCAGTTTGTCAGCCATGAGAAGTATTCTCAATACTCCCATTGTCAGAACAACAGATTTAATGCACAAGCATCCACTGATCAGTGGAAACATAGCTTGTCAGCACTCGAGCGCTTAACGATAAGCACCAGAAGTACTTCAAATATAGCATATCATTTTCATTAATAAAAACATAAATATATATATATATATAAAACAAAAACACTTTAGAATCTAGTTTCAAAGATTCATACAACTTATAGACCTAGTATCAAAGGTCCCATTGATTGAATAAAAAACATAAGAAAGAATATCAAAGTCCTTACAAAGAACTCAAAGACAATCAATTAATCAATAGATATATTAAAACTAAGAAGCCTATTACATAAGAATACCAATGTAATCAAACATGAGAAAAGAGCCAAGAAAGAGAAGCTCGTAATAAAAGATATATACGTAAAGGACACTAGAAACAGTTAACAACGAAGAACACTCATAGCGTGAGTAATGCAAGAGGACCAAGTAGAGCAATATAGTATTTCCAAGATAAACGTTGTGGTGATCTATTTATGATATCAAGCAAGAAAATTAATCATCATTACTTTACCAAGTTATTAGAAAACTTCAGTATAGCAGGAAATTCGAAATTCAGGTTTTCAGATCAATTGAAGCTCTTAGAGGCTTATGTATACTTATTAGCTCAATATTATGTCATCTCATTTCAAAAATATTCTTAAGATCAACATAGTTTACTTACAAAGTTATTACAAAAAGACAGAAAAAGAAAACATAAGAAAAATTTGAAAATCTAGGTGTAAAAGTTGGAAAATGGTTTTTAGGTTATTTATAATTAGGTTATGGGTTTTATAAGGTTAGAATATGAAAGAACAACACTTTATTATACAGTAACAATTTTAATCTTCAAGGTTGATAAGGGAAAACAGAAGTTATTAGCAGAAAGGTACTTTTTCGCAGTTGGTGAACAAGGGTTATGCGTGTAGTTTACATATGTAATGGTGGTAGTAGTGAAAATTAAGGTTGCCAAGAGGATTTTCTTGGATTTTTAAGGTTATAGAAGATGATGTCATATTACATGAGCAAGAAAAAGAGAGTAGCAGCTGTGAAAAGTGAAGAAAATGGGTGAATTTCGTGGAAAATGAAGGTTTTCAGCTAATTACATATGTCAAATAACATCAGATTAAGTTGGTAGATAGCTCATTCAACGCAGAAGAGTGGATTACATAATTTAAAAACTTTAAATCATTAGTAACGGAGATGTATGTAAAAAGTTATAAGGCAAATAAGAAATTGGTGTGAATCTTGAATTTACAGTCACAAGTCAACATGTAACACCAAAAACCTTAACTTCACAACTCAATATCTTACTCATCACTCATCAGAAATAGGTGATATGGGTGTCATAAATGATCAGTATCACGAGGGCTACAAGATGCACTATAGTAGATCAAAATTGGACCACTTCTGAAAAAATCGTAATCTCAAAAATTGTTTTGCAGCTAGTTTACAAGGAAAAAATCGCCTGTATTCATCTCAAGAAGTGCTGTACATTAAATCATTGCGTCATTGGTCACTTTTGGCTGTGAAAACTACATCATACATTGGTAACAAGATCTTTACATTGCGTCATTACATGGTTTTTAGGGTTCTTTAGGCGGATTTGACTGGTTTTTGAAGCTGTTGACTGTTGTAGAGGTTGTTACATGTGGATATAAGTACTCTTTAATGATTTTGAGATTGTTTTTCCCCTTTCTGAATCTTATAACTTTGTTGTAGTGTTATAAATCATCATTTATCTACTATATTTGTACTAAGATCACTTAAATCCGCCCCTTCAAAGCAAGGAGAAATTTATTTACGTGTGTTAAAGACTATAAGTCAAATTGGGAATAATACTTACCAACAGTATTGCTAGTAATAACATAGTGTGTGTATTTTTGCGCTTAAAATCTGGGAATAATACTTCACAACAGTATTGCTTTATTTTCTCTGGTGCCTTTATCTTTTTCTCTGTTATCACAAAGTGGTCAGCAAGTGCCCTTGTGCTGGTTTCTTTGAAGAAGGCGGTCTTTAGGCAACTTCTACTATATTACACGTAGTAGATTATCCCTTCTTAGGTGTTGTAAAGCTCTTGTTGAGCTTTAAATACTACAACGTCTAAGTCACCTGATAAGACTTCCTTAAATGAACGTAATAGTTCTGTGAAAAATATAAACATCAGTTAATAAATCCTTACGTAAAGAAGGCTAGAAGGAACAGAGATGCTTCTTAGACTAAGAAAAACGTACTAGTTCCGATGACAACAATGGTGAGCCATGAAAAGATCTTTTGGTAAGATAACAAACTCGGAGCAAGAAACTCCGTCCTAGCTGATAGCACCGCCCGACCGGAACAAGGAAGGAACGACTATAAAAACCATGCTACATTCCTACCAAACAGAAAGATCAAATTCCACCCCATCTCAAATATTCAAAGTAACCAAGTCAGTTATCTTTTTTGCAAAAGTCCAGTGATTCTCTTTAGTAGTCCTTCTATCCCTTTTATAATCAAATTATAAGTTATAAAAGCTGAACCACTCTTTACGAATTATTCCACTTCTCACAAGCAGAAACCTTGCCTACTTGAAACTTTAGATACTGTGAAATAAAAGTACCTATATTCTTTTTCTCTATTCTTTTCGTGGAATTCTTCAGAGTCTGAAAGCTTATTTTGTTCCTTCTTGATCTCGTTGTAGTAGTTCGTGTTTACCACCCTGTGTTTGAAAACCAGCTTAAAATCCTTCTAGACTTGAAGATCCCGTCAAGAACCCCTTCCAGTTTGCTTGCCAGCTTAACATTAGTAAGTGATATTCCGATTAGTCATCCATTCAGTTCTCGCAACGTAAAGTTGGACGAGATTCCCATTTATCGTAAGATATCGGGCTACTCTCAGCTATTCAGCTGTAGAGAAAAGATCGGGTCTAAGGATTGACTATCCTACCTCTGTTACCACAGTAGGCCCATGCAATCGAGCTATTAGTAGATCCTTACTAATTCTTTGGTTTTAATTTGATACTTAGGTCTACACGTACCTTACTATTCCACGTACCCAGCGGAATAGCCAGTCAGGATACTAACTGAGTAAGTTCTAGACCCTTACCAGTATTGAATAATTATATCAGCCACCCTGACATAGCTCAAAATACCTAAGACCCCATTGTCAAGGAGTGACAGTGATCCAACATAGGGAGCATATGTTACTGGTTTCAGCGTACCAGATAAGAACCCTGATGACAGCATCCAGGAAACCCCTGATGACAGCATCCAGGGAAACCCTGACAGTCTAGCTCGGAACAAACATCTCACTCAAATATATAAACAAGGATTCCATGCATCCAAAAAGAAGTAGAAAAATCTTAACATATACCATACCACTTTTACCGCAGCTCATCATTGAATTAGTATTTTACATCAAAATCCTTCTTTGTTTATCTTCCATTTGAAAGAAGACTTATTTAGAATTCTTATCTTTTAGAATCCTTTATTGCATCTTCTTTCACATCAAAGACACCCTTTTTTCTCTGAGTCACTATCTCTTTATAAATCAATGGTTTCCTTACTATTTGAATTGATATTGTAGATAGTCTCTCGTTTTCCTTTTGATGATAAATTCATCAAACCAACGCTAAAGCGTCACCTAAGGAATAACCACAAATCTCTTTGTATTCACCTTAGAAGGCTACCGTCGTGATTGCACTTTGATAAGCTACTGGAAGCGGTAATCATCCCGCACCTAAGACAACTATACGTAACGGCTATAGTTCCTTTTACATACTTACAAAGAATTGAAAAATAATCTCCCTCAAGTTTCAATAATTATTGTCTAAAACTTGATAGAATACATTTTGTAAGTACTATTCA